CATAAGAACGGACACACAGATCAATGGAACAAAATAGAGAACCCAGAAATAAACCCATGTCAATTAATATTTGACAAAGAGGGCAGAAGTATAAAATGGAGTAAAAATAGCCTCTTCAACAAATGGCGCTGGGAGGTCTAGACAACTACATGCAAAAAAAATGAAACTCAACCACCAACTTACACCATACACAAAAATATACTCAAGATGGATAAAAGATTTAAATATAAGTTGTGACACCATAAAAGTCCTAGAGGGAGAACACAGGCAGGAAAATTTCAGATATTCCACGCAGAATATTTTCATCAATAGGTCCCCTAGAGCGAGGAATATAAAGGAAAGAAAAAACAAATGGGACTCCATCAAACTAAAAAGCTTCTACACGGCTAAGGAAAACATCAGCAAAATAAAAATGGAACCAACTGTATGGGAAACTATATCCGCCAATGATACCTCGGTCAAGGGTTTGATCTCCAAAATATATAAAGAACTCACACAACTCCACACCAGGAAAACAAACAATCCAATTAAAAAATAGGCAAAGATCCTGAACAGACACTTCTTCAAGAAGGACATACAGAGGGCCTATAGATATATGAAAGGATGTTCAGCATCACCAGCCATCAGAGAGATGCAAATTAAAACCACAATGAGATACCACTTCACACAGGTCAGAATGGCCATCATAAACAAATCAACAAACAATAAGTGCTGGTAAGGCTGTGGAGAAAAGGGAACCCGAGTACACTGTCAGTAGGAATGTAGACTGGTACGGCCACTGTGGAAAACAGTATGGAATTGCCTCAAAAAACTAAAAATGGAAGAGCCTTTTTACCCAGCAATTCCACTCCTGGGATCATACCCTAAGAATCCCAAACACCAATTAAGAAGAACCTATGCACCCCAATGTTAATAGCTTGGCTATGTACAATAGCCAAGTGTTGGAAACAGCCTAAATGCCCATCAGTAAATGAGTGGATCAAAAAACTGTGGTACCTGTATACAACAGAATACTACGCAGCAGAAAGAAAGAACTCGTACCCTTTGCGACAGCATGGATGGAACTGCAGACTATTATGCTAAGTGAAATAAACCAGGCAGTGAAAGATAAATACTATATGATCTCACCTCTAAATGGAACCCCATCAATAAAACAAACAAGTGAGCAAAAGAGAACCAGAGACATGGAAATAAAAAACAAACTGACAGTAACCGAAGGGGAGGGGAGAAAGATAATGGGGGAAAGGAGGGGATGGGTCAAGTCAAGGAACATGTATAAAGGACCCGTGGGCAAAGACAATGGGGACAAGGACTGAATGTGGGATATGGGGGTAGGTAGGGCATAGGAGAGTACCGGGGGGGAAATAGGGACAACTATTAAGTGAACAATAATTTTTTTTTAAATGTCCCACAGTTTTATCCAGTCACCTACTGATGGGCACTTGGGCTGCTTCTGTATCTTGGTGATTATAAGTAACACTGCAACGAATATAGGGGTGCTTATGTTCTTTTGAATCAGTGTTTTGGGTTTCTTCGGATATATTCCCAGAAGTTGGATCGCTGCGTCAAAAGGCAGATCCATGTTTCATTTTTTGAGGTATCTCTAACTGCTTTCCAGAGTGCATTATTAAATCTTTTGGTAAACCCATTCAGAGAATTTTTCAGCTGGGGCATTTTATATTTGATCTCTAGAAATTCTACTTTTGTAAGTCCTCCATGTCTTGCCTCCGCATGTTCATGCTTTCGTTTACCTTCTAGAACATAATGGAGTCTATAATAACAGGTTTTTTCCTGCTATCTAAAGACAGAGCGCTCCTATGAAACATTTTTTAGTCAAAATGACATAAGGCGAAGATGCCATTCCCATTAATTTATATTTTAAAATTCTGAGCATTTCCAGACTAAATTCAATGCACACTCAATGTCATTATTTCATTCGCTCCAATCAAAATGTTTAATTACATCCAGTTTTATGCTAAGTGGAACACCCTTAAAGCTCTCTTAGGTTTTTTTTGATACCTTAGGACACATCTTGCTAATGAATACACAAAAAAAATCAAGGTAAAGCACAGAGGCTCACAGATACAGTTCTAAGCTAGGGTGGCTTGATGCTGAAAGGCTGAGCAGTCCCCAGTAAGGACCTTTGCCGTGCCACTCCTCACTCCTTGGAATTTGCGCTGTCTCTAAATGGCTTGCTGCAAAACAAATACTGAATGCCCACTAACTTCATTTTTTGCCTTTATTCATAAATGTGAAAATCCTCTTCAGATTTCTTTTGGTTAAAGTACTACACTAATGTAGGCCCTTTGCAGAAGTCAAGTAACATGAACTTTCGAAACGTGGGGAATACCTGTGAAGTCACGCACCACTTAATGATGAGGATACGTTCTGAGAAATGTGCCGTTAGGTGATTTAGTTGTCGTGCAAACATCATCGAATACACTTACACTTACCTAGATGGTATAGCCTACTATACAAAGGCTGCATGGCATACCACTGCCACATATGCCATTGTTGACCAAAATGTCCTGATGTGACGAGACTGTATTTGTCTTGGATACTAATTCTATCATATGTGTCATTTCTGATTCTTTTTATTAATTGCATTTCTTGACATTTGAAATCATATTTTCTGGCTTCTTCACATGCCTCATAATGTTTTATTTGGATCCTAACCATTGTGAAATTTATGGTGGGTTATTATATTCTTTTAAATATTTTCTGGAATGGACTTCTATGACCTGGAAACCGTTTGGATTTTTCAAGGCTTGTTTTTCAGCTTAACAGCTAGGCCAGCCTTTGTTTGGCCAGCTAGTTAGCCCCCTCTACTGAGGTAATACCTTTATGAGTACTTTTCCTGTTGCCCTGTGCATTATAAGGTTTGTCCACTGCGCTGGGAATGTGAACTACTCTCAGTCTTGTGTGTGCTATAGAAATCGCTCTGCTTACTGCTTTTCAGTTGGTCTTTTCCAGTCTCTCCAACTCATGCCCTTATTGGCAGTCAACTGAAAACTCAAGGTGGGGACAGGGCTCCCTGCAGACTTTTAAAACTCCTTCTCTAGGCAGTTCCCTATTCTCTGGTCCCTTGAAGTGTAAGCTGCAGATATCTTGGCTTCCCCAGTTTTCCAACTCTGTTTCCTCATTTAGAGGGAGACTGTGGTATTTCCTTAGTGTATTGAGATCTGAAAAATCTCTTTGTTATAAGCTAAGGCAACCGATGGGATCACTCTGTATCCTCTAAGGAATGCCTAGTGTATACCATGTGCTGTCTCATTTCTAAAAACTGTTGTTCCATATATTTTTCCAGTATATTTTTTTAGGCAAGGGGATAAATCCAATGTCTGTCACTCCAAAATGGCTAACGCCAAGATCACTATTTTAACTCATAAAAAACAATAAAAAAACTAATTTTAAAAACAGATCTATACGTCAAAACTTCCTCTATTAAAATATTGTTTTTATAATTTCAAAATATTAATTAGCAAGCCAAATAATGCTTACTAAAAGCATGAAAAACAAAAAGTATACAGCTATGAAAACAAAGGAAATTCTCTTTCCATTATGCTTGCAAAGATAAAATGCAGTCATTTATAAAGCACTCCAATTATTGCTATAGTTATACAATATAGCCTGCTGTTTGAGTAACTGAAAGCATCGATATGAAGACATGACACCTTTTATCTTAAAAACAAACCAACAAGCAAAACCATTTACACATTTCCTAGCTCCACTCACTGAACTGGAAATCAGAAGTACTCCTAGCATCCAAATTATGGTCAGGTGCTATTAGACACTGAAATAAACCACAGTTTCATAGAAAAAGATCTTATTCGAAGTTTGGGACAAAAATACACAAATTAATAGGTATACTTTGTTATAACAGAGAGCAAGGAAGCTATCCAAGACTGCTGTCATCACCAAAGGACTCAGGAACCAAATAGAGGAGGTTCACTGACCAAAGATGAAATAATTTGAAAATCAATTAACTTCAATGTACTGAAGCACATGAAATAGGTGTAAATCCCTGAATACAGACTAAAACTAAAAATAAGAACCAATTGGTAACAGCTGAGATTACTACAAAACAACCCCTTTAAAGTTAATACTGAAAGAAAAAGAACAAGGTATTTATCCTACCTTTCCTATATGAACTATACTACTGTATAATCAAGTAGTACAATAGCGAAAAGGAAATCTCACTTTACTAAAGTGACCTAGCTAATAAAAACAGAGAAGGAAGTACAGAATTAGAACATTCCTATTTTGCAACCATTCTGCAATAATAGATACAGGACTTGAGGGCCACTGACTGCTAATATCGCACACACTAACATTCCAGCTGATGGAAAATCAACAGCAGCATCTATGAAGTAATCTTGCTGAAAGTAAAAAATGAACGTGACTTAGTTTCAGCCTCAGTAACTATCCAATTTATAGGAAATATGAGGGTAAAAGATGTTAAACGCATTAAGAATGTATACCCCATTCTTTGGCTGACTCTACCCTCAACAAATAATGGCGAAAAAGAAGAAACAAGGTAAAGTACTTAAAAAAAGAAAAGAGTGAGAGGAGAGCAGTCTAGAGTTTAAAAGAGACTTAAAAGACATCAATCAATCACAATCAATCGGTATTTGGGTCTTAAAGCAGGCAAACTATAAATGTCTACAGCATATTATGATCATTTGTATAAAATAAAAAATACAATGTTTATTAATTTGCTTGTAAATGTACAGGATGCCTCTGTAAAAATTCATAAAAAAATGGTAACACGAGTACCTGGGTAAGAGAATTGTATGGCCAAATGACAAGGATGGGAAAGAGATTTTTTAGTATCTCTTGAGCTATGTGCATATATTATCTATTATACAAAAGATATTTGTGTGTTATTGCAGTTTCAAAGGTTGCCTAAACTAAAATCATTAATTTAGTTCTTAGAAAAGCTACTCTGAACTAGAGGAATGATAACATCTTTGATTAGCAAAAATAATGAATGTTATTACCTCATCGTATGTGTATCTGTAGTCAGCTTTCTTTGATTTGAGGTCCCATAGCACTACTGTTCCAGATTCAAAGCCAATCAAAAGCTGTAATAAAAGAAAATGCCACGTTACCTAGGAATGATATTAATCATATGAAACATTCATTTTCTGACAATAAAAATAACTATTATCATTAATATGCTTCCAATATAATATAAACATTTGCATTGCTGATTACTAATCACATGGATGACAAATAAGAATACTGCACTGTATATTTATATCTTTGATTATTAGGGACTCAACACTTATACAAGTTTTTTAGAAAAGAAAACTACCATTTTGAAATCTTCAGTGTACATTTTAATTAATATAACAAAAATTAGCATTACAAATTAAATTTTTATACACTTCAGAGGTTTTCAAGCTTTCCTCATTCAATATATTATCAGGTAATTTCATTTATTTATGTATATATTAATTGGTTCCAAATTATAGCCAGCCTAGATCCCTCTCATGAGATTTGGACTCATAATTCCAAAGGCCCATGTCCACTCATCTACTCAAGAAGAATCTCCAAGTAAATGTGTCCAAAAGTGAGTTCTTTACTGTCTTCCCTACCCTCCTCTGGTATTCTCTGTTGCAGTATCTCTCCATTCCTTACCTCACCATTCACTTGAGTTGCTCAGGCAAAAACCTGGGGGTCATCTTAACTCTAGTTTCTCCCTCATCAGGTAAAATCATTAAGTAATTTTAAAACTGCACTCTATAATCTAATTCACTTTCCTCCACCTCTTAATACCGGCTCTTAGTTCAACACAAAAAGATTTCTGTGGTGATCACTTTATAAGGTATATAAATGTCTCATCACTATGTTGTACACCTGAAACTAAATGAATATAATATTGTATGTCAACTATAATTAAAAAAAAAAAAAAGACACAAAGATCTCTTCTGGTCTCCTAGTCTCCTCGATCCCAAGTCTTGTTCCTTTTTTAATCCATTCCATATTGTTAACTAACAGTTCTAAAATGCAAACCTGATCATGTAATGTATGCTTCTATTTAAAACTTCTCAATACCTTACCATTATTTTTAGGATGAAGTCCAAACTCAATAATATGACTTACAAGATTCATCATGGTCTGACCTCTGCTTACCTCTCCAGCTTCATCCACTACCACACACTCTGTACCCAGTACACTGCAGTGTATCTCTTAGTTCATGCTCTCTCTAACCTTGGAGCCTTTGCACATGCTGTCTACCTGGGCCATTCTATTCAAATACCATGTTCTGCCTGACTCATCCTACCAATCCTTCAGATGTCCTGTTAGCTATTACTTCCTCTGTGAAGCCTTCCTTGACCTTCCAAATAGAAGTCAATGCCCTTTCTATGTGCTCTAACAGCATCCTGTGTTATTTTTATCTTAAGGGTCACCACACAATATAATAGCCTCTGCCTTATCTGAATTCTCTTGCAGACAATAACACTCGTCCATTTAAGCAAAGACTGGTTTTATCTTATTCACCACTATACTTCTAATATAAGACACGGCCTCATCTGTTGTAGGTACTTAACAAACGTTTACGAATGAATAAATTTCAGAATGGAATGCATATTCTTGCTTTATAAACTGTCCACTGCCTATCCAATTTCTGCTGTCCACCATTCCCCACCCAGCATTTTCCAAATCTCAGTATTCCCTCTCCTTGAAACCTACCCCCCTGTTATTTACTCAGCAATGTTCTTCTCATTGTTAAGTCTCAATTTAGTCTTGCTTTCCTGAGTAAGTCTACCCAGTTCCTCTAGAAGGACAAAGATGCTCCTTCTCCTATGCTAGTACCTGCCTTTTCATCTATATGCCCAATACATATTAGACACTCAAATATTTGTTTGATAAATACATAAGCAATCAGTAGGTAGTCAATAACCATTCATGTAATCTGAAATATGAACAAAGTTTCAGTAATCTTAATTAAATAACAATTTAGTAGCTTTCAGACTACAGTACACTTGCAGGGGCCAGTCATGGAAGCTAACAAAATAGGTTTTCCCACCTTGGGAGAGAAAATAGTTAATTTCCATAACCCAAACTCTTCTTTCCTAGGCAACCTTCTGGGAAAAATTGATATTTGTTTCCTTTACCTTTTCCTAGTCCTTCCAAATATCTTGGATATGTGATATGTAAATTTCTGATAGGGGTACAGAAAAACTTCAGAAAAAAAAAAAGATGAAAAAGGGTAAAATTTAAGAATTGATGTACGGTGTAAACAGCACTGGATTGCTCAGGTCATAGGTAACGTAAGTTCTCATCTTGGCTATGCCACTTAATGTAACTTTACATAAATAAATTTATCCCTCCAGATCTTAACAACAGAAAAAGGTTTTAGAGTAAGCTTTAGCCCTTCAAGCCGGCTCTAACATCCTAAGAATGTCAGAAATTTGTGCCAAGTGATTAAATTTTAATCACCATAATCTCCTAAATACTAAAAAATAGAAGACCTAAACTTGAAAATACAGTACTTAAACTTGGAAGCTTCTTTCAATGTTTATTCCTACTAGAATATTTAAAAACTTAAGGATGTTAAGTAATTTATGCAGTTGACTGGTGTCCTTTTAATTTTTTTTTTTAATTTTTTTTTTGTTCAAATACATTTGCCTCCACCTTCCCACCACCACTTTCCTCTGCCCTCCTCCCCCACCTCCTTCCCTCAATCCTTTCTCACTTTGGCTTTGTCCATGATAATTTTCTTCTCATAAAAAGCAACAGTGGGCACACTGACTATGAATACAACTCTATACAATATCAATAATACATCTATATCTTATAGAGGAAATGCATTATAATAGGGAAGGCTCAGGAGTTGAAATCAGAAAAATCAGTGTTCAAAATCCCAGCTCCACTGATATCTAACTTTGTACCTCTTGACCACATAATATTACCAAGTCTCTGTCTCACCATCTGTAAAATAGGAAAGATATCTCACTTAAATTTGCTGGGAGGATCCAATGAAATAGTGTATGTAAAGAGGTTAGCATAGTGTCTGAAATAAAGTAGAATTCAATAAATAGTAATCAATATAATGTATTCTAGCATCTGACTATCTCAAAAATGTTTGAATGAGATTAATTCTGGGAACTAATGAGAATAGTATAATGAAGGTTTCAAAAAATTAGGATGATATAAACAGCTATACATAATTTATGCAATGAATTAAGTATACATTGAACAGTTACTATTTACATTGTATGTTGAGTACTTGCATAATATAAACTTGCATAAATATATTTTCTGTGTTCAGGGAGTCTTTCAAGTTCAGGGAAGGTGACATACACACATTTCTAATATGGCAATATGTGGTAAATATTGTAAAGCTTACACGAATACAATGTTAGTGTATTTGAAAGTGTGAGAAAGCATTTCCTATCATAATTATCAGGAAAGATAACATGAAAAATATATTTAATCTGAGCCTTAAAATAGGGTAGGAATTCATCAGAGAGAGAATGTCATTAAATAGGACTACCTGAAAGACTTCCAAACAGAGGGACTCACATAAACAAGGCATGGAGGCAGGAAAGAACAGCTCACATTTGGGAAACAATAACTATTTGCTTCAATATAGCATTTGGTAAAGATGTTCTGAAAGATAATAAAGCCCAGGGCTACTTCTAAGGAAACTTGATTCTATTTGTTAGATGCTACAGAACCACTGAAAGCTTTTGAACAGGAATGCAGTAAGATTGAAAGGATGCGGTGTTCTAGGAAGATTTATCTGGAAATAATTTAAAAATGGGCTGGGATGCCTTGAAATACCTTGGTCTTGATGAAATGGAATAGAAAAGAGACATTGCAAAGGAAGGACTGAAATGACTTAGTGACTGATTGAAGGTAGAAGGAAGTTTTCAATTCTCCCACCATGTCTCACTCAAAGGCTTGCCTGTCAAACAAGTATCTTGTACCAAAGAAAATAAAGTTAAAATACATGTTATTCTAACTTGCTTAATGTATTTTATTTCAAAACATATACTTGTATAATTGTAAGCTAACACCAAACAGTACAGCCACCCTTTTGTTTTCCCAGTGGAGAATAAGAGAACAGTGTTAAACAATCTATAGGCTTGACCACTCTCACTAATTGAGAAAAGGAAAAACCTGGGAAAACTTCTTCACAAAATACATAAATGTATAAGTTTCATTTCACTAATTTCTGGTAGTGGTAAATTTCCTGGTATTTACATAGGCTATCATCATAAAATTATATACATAGCAATTTTATATTTAAATGGAACTACCTGAAAGATTGGTTGGATTAGAAAAGAAAAATTCATGGAAAAGAAATTTTTATTATCTTTAAATATATTTAACAAAACTAAATTAACAATAGCTAGATACTGACTGAATAAAACTGGTTTCTGAGGATAAAAGTTAAGTAACATTTAAAAAATGTCTACATTCTTAATGTAGCTATTTATGAAGAAAAATTTATGGAAGATATAGATACAAATCTAACATACAATTTTATAATAACTGCTTACAAAAATTGTATAACTAAAGTTCTAAAAAGAATTCAAATCAAAGGAAAACAGTTTTATCAGAATTATCAGAAAATCTGGGAAAATATTTTGAATAAGCCAAAAATAAATTAATAACCTTTGATTGTTTCTATTAAACATAACTTGTTTTAGGGAATTTTTTTTGTTCTTTAAAATTATAAATGATTCCAATTCTTTCACTTGTTTTCTTGTTTTTCATAATGTATAAATAAGCCATACAGTATTTGTTGAAAGATCTGGTTCTTGAGTAGTTTGCATATTTAAAACAATACCAAAATTCACACATTTAGGTAATAAACAGTTTTTAGAAAAAATTCTACCTTTCCTTCATCCATTGGATTATCACTTATATGGACAACAGGTCCTGGATGAGATTTAGATGACCTAAAAAAGAAAAAGTTAGTAAGATTTGTTTCTCAGCTAAAATTTTCAATACAATTATGTATTCATCGCAATAAGAACAACAAATGGACAATAAAGATATATTTATAAAGGGTGCAAACATTTCAGTAATTGATCAATAACAGATGTCTAGTTCTTAATATGCATCAAAATAAAAATCAGAAAAAAATAGTGTCTGTTAAGTTGATACAAGTAAGCAAAATTTAAAATTAAGTATACCTGTGTACAGGAAATAATCTTCAATTTAGTATTTTAGCACAGAAATTCTATTCCCATGGTATTCTCAGAATTAATTATTTTTTTAATAAAGCAGCATCTAAAATATTGCTCTCATTTTACTCAGTTCTAGCCTCCAATTAGGGCATCTCATCCAGTTCCACAGTTCACCCCAATAATAGGAAAAATTCTACCTTTTTTTTTTAAATCAACAGATAAACTTGCTCAGATAAAATGAAGTCATGCAGATAAAGAATGTAGCTAAACTGATGCCTACACAGCACAAATAAGCACCCCTCTGGTCATGAACTCCAAGGGCTGAAAGATCATGAGAGCCATTTGTGAAACCACACAGACTCCTACACCAGACCTGCCCACTAGATGCTGTGATCAGCTTGACAGACCATGAAAACCCACACCTTGTACACCAAGGGACTGAGATATGATGATAATGTCACTGCCACAGGAAGGAAAACCAGACTTTATGCACTATTACAGCTGCATCAACATACTACTTAAGACACATGTCACAAATTTATTATTACGTCTAAATGACAGAACATCTGTGAAATTTATCATTATGTCAAAGTGATAAAATATCTGTGAAATGCAACAATATAGAATTATTTGTTTAAAGACAAAACAGAAACACTGAAAATAAATCTTGTCAATATCCCTAAATTTTGATTTTTATGTCTAAATTAAATGAGAAAAAACTTAAGAGAAAGAGGTATGATACAAAGATAAGATTGTAAGAAAGAGTGAAAAGTCAGCAGTAAAAGTTAGGATTCTTACAGCCTTTTGGCTCACACAGTTTTTGTTGCTGTTATTGTACAATGAAAGCAATCATCATTATATCAAAATTAAGGAAAATTAACTGCCAAGTTAATTTTGCAAAGTTACATAGCAAACATTACATTTATTAATTATCAAAACATATCAAGTAGTAGTTTAGAGCAGCATTTTCCAAACATTGGTAGCAACCTGTTAGTGGGTCATAAAATCAGTTTAGTGGGGAATGACAAGATTTGAAATAAAAATAATTACAAGATAAAAAGAAGAGTGTTTTTCACCTAGTAAGAATAATTTTCCCATTAAACTTAAGCAACAGTTTATATACATGCAAACACGTGTGTGTGTATACATATATACATACAGGGTGGGCAAAAGTAGGTCTACAGTTGTTCACATGGAAAACAGTATAATTAATTAATACTAATACAAAAATAAACTGTTTCACGTTCTCACAACTGTTACCCTACTTTTGCTCCCTTCTCTATGTAAAGCATTTAAATGTATAAACTGCCAGAAGGATACTAGTACTTACAAAAGACTAATCTGTATTTAATATCAGAATGTCTAACATATTTCAGTATGAGTTTAATGATTAGCTATTATATAATATTATCTTATATGGTACTGATACTTTCAGAAATGGAAATTTGCTCAAACTCACAGTTCAATGGCTTTATTCCACATAATGACATAGCCTGAGAGTGTGAAGGACTCCACATTGACAATATGTATATTACCTCGTTCAGTGCCCACATAGAGCCACTTACTCTGGAAAGGCAAATGGCAAAATGTAACCCTGCAAGAGAAAATACATATTTTAAAAATGAGAAAAATGCCTGGTATATTTTATTAATTGTATTAGAGGATTAATCATGATATATATAATTTATCAAAAGCAAAAATGAAACACAACTATCAGACTTAACTACTCATTGGGATTAATACATAATTATGCTAATTATGATAAAACATCAGATTTATTTACTCATTGGGATTAATATTTAATTATGCTAATTGAATATATACTTATTCAAATATAAGACTTTACAGTAAATAGATATCATGGCATAATAGAAGATAAGTTATGAAGTTTGAGCTGTTATCCCTCAGTATTCTTGGGGGTTCCCAAATCCACAGATGCTCAAGTCTGTATATAAAATCATGTATTTGGGTATAACCTACGTAATTCTCCTATACATTTTAAGTCATCTGTAGGTTACTATACTTAATACAATACTTAATACAATGTAAATACAATACAACATAAATAACTGTCATACTGTACTATTTAGGGAATAACAAGGAAAATGTCTGTACATGTTCAATACTGATGCAACCACTGTGGGCCTTTATTTTCCCTGAGTATTTCCCATCTGCAATTGGTTGAATCTGCAGATGTGGAACCAACCCATGGATACAGAATCCAAGGATAGGGAGGACCAGCTGTTTTTCAAATCTGACCATGCCATTCACTGGCACATCACACTTAACCTTTAAGCAACAAACTAGGAGTCCAATACCCACATCATCCCTACCTAATACTGTTATTTCTCAGGCATTATTAAACACAAACGTCACTCAGGATCCGTGCATACTATTCCTTCCAGGCAAAATGCTCTTCCCATATTTTTCTTCTCTTCAAGATTCAGTTCAAACACCACCTTCACTCAAATTGATATCCGAACATTTGTGTATGCCTATAAGGCTTGCCTTTTAAAAGAGTAAGGATCTATTCTCCTCACTAACCTCTAAGTCTCTGGAAGGGCAGAGATCTTCTGTATCAGGCTTAGACAATGCTATTGAAATATAAATGAACTATCTCCTCCTATGTCCTGATGATATGAGAGGCCTTCATTGACAAATCATAATAATTTACATGCATGTATTATACTTCATTATCATTCCAACAATTTCAAAGATTTTCTATATCAGCTCATTTGTTTTCAAGGCAAAGACAGAAACTACCTTATTTTTTTTAGCACTACTTATTTTTAGAAAAGAAAGGTAGTATGTTATGAAACCATGTAATGCTTATCTTTTCAGATTCTAATTGTGTCTCTCAAAATAGACTAAAATTCAATGGAGTAGCATTTCAAATAATACACTAATAATCACTGCGAGGCTGACAATACTAACAGTAGGTATTAGACAAGATATAGTATACGGAACACTTGCATTTGCTATTCCTATTTAACATACAACTCCATTACCAAGTATTTTCAGGACTTAACATTTATCAAATAAAGGTACATGCAACTCAGGGTCTCAACTGTTTACTTCCTAGAGGTAATGTTCCTTTAGACGATTACTTCAGGTTCACTGTCTATATTTTCTGTTGAATGTTTTATAAGATAACATAATCATCTTTATAAAGGTTTTATATTAACAGAGCACAGAAATGTCTGCTAAATTAAAAAAAACAAAAAACAAACAAAAGGCCCTAGCTGGTGTGGCTCAGTGGAGTGAGTGCTGGCCTGCAAATCAAAGGGTCATCAGTTCGATTCCCAGAGTAGGGCACATGCCTGGGTTGCAGGCCAGTTCCTAAGTGATGGTTAAAAAAGATGCAGCCACACATTGATATTTCTCTCCCTCTCATTCTCCCTTCCTTCCCTTCTCTAAAAATAAAATAAATAAAATCTTTAAAAAAGAAAAAAGAAATAAAGAAATATATCTTGTTTAAAAGAAAAAAAAAACATTTTGTAGTACCTTATTGCTTCAGAAGGCAGTAAGTTCACAGTACCATTCTGAAAACTTCAGGGCCATTTAAGTTTCAGAATTCAGAATTTTCTAGATTTTAGAAAGGTACGTAATCCCTGTTTTATATATTACTGAGTATGGGGGGTAGCATCTCATACACACTGAATATTTTTGAAGTATAATATTAAACAGTTTATTTTTTAATTGAGGTATAATTGCCATATAACATTTTATTAGTTTTAAACATACAACATACTGATTTTATGTATGTGTGTATTGTGAAATGATCACCACAGTTAAGTCTAGCTAACATCTATCACTACACATATGGTTAGAAATTTTCTTGGAATGAGTACTTTGAAGATCTATTCTCTTAGTAACTTTCCCATATACAATACAATATCAATTATAGTTACTGGCAGTTTCTCAAAAAATTAAACATACACATACCATATGATCAGCCCACTCCATCCTTATGTATTTACCCAAAGAAAGGTTAGCGAACGCCTATAACAAGATTTATATACAAGTGTTCATGGCAGCTTTGTGACAGCCAAAAACTGGAAACAATCCTAATGTCCATGTCCATCAACAAGTAAATTGTGTCATATATTTCGAATACTATTCAAAAGTTAAAAATTATTGATAAATATAACAACATTGACACATCTCAAAATCCTTATAATGAATAAAAGAAGCCAGAAAAAAAGGGCATATTGTATGGCCCATTTATCTACAATTTATATGCAAGAGAAATTGCAAACTAAACCACTGTACAAGAAAACAGAGCAATGGTTTCCTGGAGAATACAGAGATAGAAACTAGTTAACAGTGAGAAGGGATTACCACAAGAAAACATTTTGAGGTGATGGGAAGGCTCCTTATTTTGATTATGATGACAGTTTCATGCATGCATATCTATGTTAACACTTACCAAACTGCACATTTCAAATATATGTAGTTTATTATTTGTTAATTACACATCCACAGGGCTGTTTTAAAATTTTGTGCTTTCACATAAAAATGTGAAGTATATATTTGTAAGTATTTATGTGAAAGTTTATCTTTCAGATCATTGTGAATGAACTTCTTGAGAATAAGGATTTTCTCAGCATTTTACAAATCTCCCATAGCTTTATCCATGCCTGATATTAGAACTAAATAATATAAAAGTGAATTGATTTTTCAGGTGTCAAGGAAATTAGTTAATTTGCAATATAGATTATCTTCAAAGTCACACTGCCTTATTTCCTTTCACTTTTTAGAGAAAGGCTTTCTAATACTTACATTTGTTTACCAGACAAAACAAAATGTACCACATTATCTATTTTATTTGAAGCATCCAAATGCATACCAGAATATGTATCTCTATTTCTATATTTTATTCATCTATATTATATTTAGATGTAATTAAACATAATCATAACCTTATGAGGTATATACTATCTTCATCTGGTGTGCTCAGTACATTGTCCAATTTCTCAAAACTAGTATGAGATAATGTGCTAGAATTCAAATATAAAAAATTTGTGTTTTCATAGATTTGTGGGTTGAGGAATTATGAAACCAGATTGTCATTATGATTAATATATAGTAATAAGCTCTGGAGTCAGACTACCTGAACTTAATTTCCAGCTGTGCCACTCACTAGCATATATATGACCTTAGTCAACCTCTCTGAGGTTCAGTTTCTAAGCACTAATGCATGCCTGACAGTGTTCACCTGAGGATCGAATAAGACAAAGCCAGATAGATGCTTAAAAAGAGGCCTATATAGGTAGATGTTCAATAGATATTAGCTAATTATTAAAACTAAATGATATTCTACCAATTAAAAGTTACAGGCAAATTTAAACTACATAAAATAAATAAAATTCCCCTTAGACAATTAAAATTTCCATAAAGCTCTAGAATTTATCATAGGATCGGCATAAACCAGAATTGCAATCAATGTTTATCAAATGAATTAATGCAGAAGAACATAAGAAGGAAGCAAATACTATTTAGTATTTTTCTCAAATTAACTGTACATTACTGTCTTGTAATTAGATGAAATTTTAAGTTTGCATTAATGAACACGGAAGTGTACTAAAATAACAGCAGTCAGATGAAAGCAACTTAAAATCTGTTCAAATAATTTCCTTTCTATTTATAGTCCTACCTATCTTCTCTGATAAACTGTCTTAGCTACTTGAGAAAAATCTTCATATCTGTAACTCAGAAGCAAAATGTATCATGTTTCAAAAAATAAGCTTCATAGACCTTCAGAGGTCATATTACATTTGTATTGATTTACTGTATTCTTTACTAATTATAACTCAATTTATATGAAACATTCAAAAACTTTTGGAAATGTATCCAAAGAAATCAAAATATTCACCTTTCTTGCAAAATGAGGCCTTGATATAACATCAAGGACTATCAAAAACAAGTAAGTATCAATCCTTGACCAAGACAGAAGAGTAGGTAAGAATGCCTCACCTCCACTCACAACTATAGCAAAAACTACAACTAGACGACAAAACAAGTTATCACTCACAACTGTGAAAATCAAGCCATGTGGAAGTCTGAGGACCCAAGACTGAAAGAAGCCACATTCATCCAGACAGACAGGAGGGGCCTGGAGATGTGGAGTGACCTGGAGAGGTGCAGAGAGGGGAAAAGCGGTCCCACAACCATGTGTGGTAGATAAAAAACAGGAGGGATGCCCCGGGAGCGTGGGGTCACAGCCCTAGTCCAGACCACTCAGCCCAGGGTTCCAGGGCCAGAAAGGTAAGGCCCCATAATGTCTACTTGTAAAAACCAGTGGGGCGGGAGGTAGGAGAAGAAACAACTATGAGAGTCTCAAGAGGCTCCTCCTACAGGGCCCACAGCTGACATCTTTAAAGGTACCAACATCCGAATCATAAGGGTGGCCAAAAGGAGAAGACAAAGAGCAAGAAACTGAAAACTTATTTGAAGCTAGAAGGGACTGGCTGGAAGTATTCAGAGACGAAAATCAAAGACCTACAATCTAGATTACTCTATCCAGGGAAGTTATCATTTAGAAATGAAGAGCAGATAAAGTGCTTCCCAGACAAGGTAAAACTAAAGGAGTTC